GAGCCATCCTCCTGTCTCAGTCTCCTGAGTAGCTGGGATTACAAGCTATGCCACCACGCCTGGCTTAATTCTGTATTTTGAAATTTATTAATATAAGCATAGGCAGTATAAGGATAGTTGCAGTAAGATGTCTCCTAATCACTCTCAAACTTAGCAATTAGGTTAAATTAAAACACTGGGATCAGTTCAGGCCCATGCAGATTGCTGAAGTAGACACCCTAAAAAAGGCAGGTGCACTTGAATTGTCCTGGTCCTTTGGCAGCGAGTAGAGACAATACCCTCAACGTGATCCAACACCCCAGCATCCTAGGACATGATACAGCTTACCATGGCTTCCCCGTTTCCCAGGGGGCTCCGCTACTGGAAGAACGCTGGCTCAGTATCCAAAGTGGACTCAATTTTGAAGAATACATATGAACACCTCACTGATCATTTAAATCACATCTACTGTAATAACTGTAAAAGAATCTGTCTTCTGCAGATGGTGAATAGCTGTATTTTTTGGATCCAAAACCTCTAATACATTTCCACAACTTTTTGTGTGTGATTTCATACGGTGGCAAAGTCCTTTCGGCTGAACTGTGAGTGCCTGCCCTTTTTCTGTTCCTCCTCCCATATATACACTGACTAGGAAAGGCAGGCAAAAATCAACAAAAGAGGAAGTTAGTGTTTAAACTATCACTCTTTTCCTGAGGTGACATTTTCCATCAATAAGTACTAAAGTATCAATCTAGAAACCATTCTCACCTGACTAGCTTGTCAGCCAGCGATGCTCCCCATCCACCCTGCTGAAAAGAAAACTGCAGAAAGAAAAGCCTGTTATTACTACTGATCAGTGTAATGAGAGCATTTCAGTAAGGGAAATTTTGATGAGCAACTCCCCTTCTCTTTTCTTTGCACTCCCTGACTTCTTGGACTTCATCACTCGACTCATTCAAGGGAGGTCATTTTGGGGGATTACATGTATCTACACCTGGCAGCACTCTGGAAAGGTATTTTTTGATTCTCTATCAATTAAAAGCAGCTTTAAGAAAATTTATGTACAAGAGATAAAATCAACTATGTGTTCAGTTAGGAAATGAAGTCTGTACCTCTCCATAGCAGAAAGAATAATGGTTTTATTAGTGACAAAGCTTAGGGTGATTATACATTCCCATGGAATATGGAAAGCCCTTACTGCCCCAGATGCCTAAAAATAATGTTACCAACTATTGGCACATATGTAAAAAACTGGTTTAGAAAATTCATGTGTGAGTGTTAGGAGAAGAAAAAAAAAACGCCACAGGAAAATAATGTCTACTTCCTCCCCAAAGTAAAAACTTATATTTGGAAGAATTTTTTCTTAATGGGAACTGAAAAATGATCTTGGATGAAAATACTATCTTTTTCTACTTTATTCTTGAAGGCATTTTATTTTCAAGATCAACCCTTGACCAGCATGGTGGCTCACATCTGCAATCCCAGATTGCATTTTGGGGGGTCAAGGAGGGAGGATCGCTTGAACCAAGGAGTTCAAGACCAGCCTCGGCAACACGGCGGGTAAAACGGGCCAGTAGCCCCAGCTACTGGAGAGGCTGAAACAAAGATGAGCGCTTGAGTCCAGGAGTTCGAGGCTGCAGTGAGCTATGACTGCGCCACGGCACCTCAGCCTGGGCGACAGAGTGCGACCGTCTTAAAAAAAAAAAAAAAAAAAAATCAACCCCTAATTGCTCAACCTGTTCCACCAGAAGTGCAGAGGTGAACTAGTTCAAAGCACCTTCCGCATAGCACAGGCTGCATAAAAACTGTGGGAAGTGAATCAGCCGCCTGCGAGGCCTGTGCAGGTGACTCCTCAGGGAAAGCCTCCCCGGGGGACACAACACACTGTTCGTGCCCAGAAGCCACCGCCAAGGAAGACACTGAAAACAATACACAACTTGTACCAGATCATCCTAAACTCCCGTGAAAAGTGACACAAATGGAAAGAGCAGCGGAACTCTGGTAGTTCGGCCCTGCCCCTCGCCAGGGCGAGACCCTTCACTTCCCAGCCCCTCGTCTCTCCCAGAGGCGGGTTCTTTGTACCAGACCGAATGAAAACGCGTATGCCCCCCGCGGAAGCGGCACCGTTACGGTCCAGGACAAGCCCCCGGAAGGTCTCAGCCACCAGCGGGGAGACCCACCGCCAGGGTTCGCTGAGGGCACTGGGGGCGGGACCCGTCGTTCCTCTGGGGTCCTCACAGGAGGCAGCGAGCTTGACAAACCCCCCACCTCCTCGGCCTTCGCGGGGGCACGGAAGGGACCCCGGGACAGAAGGGGACGTGGGGGCCCAGCGCCGGCGGACCCCGCAGGGAGGCCCGAGAAGGAGTCCGCGGGTGTGGCGGGCTGAGCGGCGCTGGGCAGCCGAGCGTCCGGGGCGCGCCCCCGGGCGGCGGTACCTGAGTGATAGAGTCTCCGAATAGCAACACGCGAGGCCATAGCAGAGAGCTCCCGCAGCCGACCGCCTCGCACAGCGCCATAGTCGGGCCGGCGGGGGGCGGGGCGAGCGGCCGGACGCCCGCACGGCCCGCCCGGAAGATGCGCATGCGCAAGCGGGCGTCGCCGGTCCGCACCGAGGTTCCTGGCATAGTGGCCAGTGATTTTTAAGACACGCAATAGCTGTGGCCATTTGGAGACCTCAGTTTTGTCCGTTTACAAGAAACTCGGCCTACTGCACTCGTTCGCTCACAGCGAATCTGCAGGGGCGACCCCGCGGCCCCTGGGGGAAGCCAGGCTTGGGCGAAGGCCTTGGGCCCCGCGCGCCTGCTCACCCTCTGGCCCGCAGCGCCGGGCAGTTCCGCGGAACGACTCGACCACCCCCCCTGCCCTCCCCGCCCCCCGAAGGAAGCGACTTGGCGTCGCCGTCAAAGCCAACACCACACTGGGCCCGCAAGTTCAGAGGAAAGCGGGTTCAGAGGAGTTTCCGCACGTGGCAGTGCTGTGAAGTGAGAAGGCGGGGTAGGAAGTGCAGTCGGCCCTCTGCGTGGCGCAGGACGGGATCCAGGGTCCTTGCGGAGCTGTGGATGGTCACGTCCCTGACACTAAGTGGCGTGGCGTTTGCGTATCACCTACCCACAGCCTCTCCTATACTTTCAACCGTCTCTGGGTTGATTATCATACCGAATACAGTGTAAATGCGATGTAAATAGTTACTATACTGTATTTAGAGAATAATGACAAGGAAAAAAGCCCACCTGTTCAGTACAGACACAAATTGCCAGTTTTCTCCTTTTCCCTACTGTGGGTTGGCTGCAGAGACCTGCCGATAAGGAGGGCCGACTTATGTACAAGGAAATCATCTCTCAAATAAAACTCGGTCACTTATCGAACGTTTTTACCTCAACTGTGCGATGAAGTATGACAGCCGTGCTCAAAACGGGTCAGAAGGATGTCTTGAAGCCACGTAGCTTTAGGGGAAAACCGGAAGGACGGGGAAGCCGACGCCACTCCGTGCAGCTGGCGTCACGCGTGAGCGCAGCTCTAGGCTGGTGGTTCCTGGGCTCCAAGCTAGGGTCAGCCAGAGAGCTGTAAAAGCGTACTGCGGGAGGACGGAGGACGCTCACTCCAGACAAGCTGACTCAACTTCTGCGGTGGGACTGGGGCATCAGTGCATTTGTAATGGGCCCCAGGTGATTGCCATGTGCAGCCCCGATTGAGGGCACCTGCTAGGGGCACGGTGCTTGGGCTTCATCCTAATCACGATGACGACCTCCTGTTGGACTTTCAGCAGCAGAGGCTTGAGGCCAGATGTTATTTTAGGAATCAGCGGTAGGGAGTGGGGATGGGTTGTTGCAGGAATTCAGGGAGGGAAGAGTATGACTTGGGCTCAAACAGCAGCAGTGGAGATGAAGACTCAGATTCAAGAGCAATTTAGAATAGTTATTAACTCAAATTGGTTACCTTAGGGGAAAGGACACTTTCCTTTCTTGCTGTATATATATTACACATTGTGTGTATTTTTGCAACTTACTGTTTTAAAATCTATCACAATAAAATCTTATGACTTTAACCCCTAGGACTTTAGTGTGAGCCAGAGAGAACATAAGTAGGCTATTTTATAGAAATAAATGCATTTTAAGCAACAGAGTCAGATTTACACTGAAGATTGGCACCAGAGTGCAGGGGAGTGGTCAGCAGTTGGAAGTCACTATAAGAAGTGAGGCAAAATGAGGATGAAATAATGTCAGTGGAGTTTAGTGACTGTGGACAACTGATGACTTTAGATTGACAGCGTAGGCAACTCTGAAGTCGGGCTGTGAACAGGAGAAGCTAGCAGTGCACCTAGTTCCTTTCCTCTGGAGAGGCAGCAAGTAGGCCATTTTCATTGAAGTAGATGCCAAAGAAGCCCCCGGCAGAGTGGGCTGCTCCCTCAGCACCAGACACCCCTGTGTCCAGTTACTTCCAAGTCTGAATTACATGCCCTTGGCCTAATGGCTTACATATGAAACAAACAAATGACACCTGAATACCCACTGAGTCATAAACGTTATACTCTGTCTAGCCTGGGAGACAGAGCAGCACCCTGTCTCTGGGAAAAAAAAAAAAAAAACTATACTCTGAATATCCCTGAGTTATATGTGTAGATACAATATAAAAACACTGAGTCCTAAAAGTCCTAATTTTACAAACGCATAAATTAAGGAATTCAGCAAGAGTGTCAGGAGGAAAGAAACAGAAAGGTGCTTAACACTTTTAAGTGATAATCCCTGTTCATTTAAATTTGGAATATGCATATGAAAGTACAACCTACCGTGTGTTTTCTTTCCTTAATAAGTACCGTAAGACAAATTCTGTTTCAGTTGCTGTGAGCAAATCTTAAAGGTTTCAGTGGGAGCTGCACACATGCCTGGAAGCAGAATCAATAAACTCTAAAATAAGGGGTAGTTTAGTAGTTAGTTCTAGACTAATGGACAAATTAGTTGGTAATTTAGCAGTATTCAGGCTGTTGGAATCAAGGCCACCTGACATCAAAAGTAAATAGGCAACCCCAGAGAAACTAACATATTTTAAGTAACAGAAGTAGAGTCAAGTATTTTTAAAAAGTTTTAACATATACAGACAAAAAGTTATCAATGAACTGGCGTAAGGGCCTCATATAGTCTCTGTGCAGCCAGTTCCACCATTTCTCGGAGAGATTCATCATCTTCACTTCCTTCTTCACATTCTACGGTCTGAAAGTGAAAGCACAAACATGCCTTTAATTATTATAACTGCCTATAATTATTACATGGAAGATAAATGAATACTCTTTAAGAACAATCATCTGTACAGGTGGAGGTCACTGTGAATTACCAAGAGGCAGAGTTGCTGCGCCACACACCTGTGGACACAATGACTGGATCTAATTAGAGATGAATTTTGGAGGGAAAAAGAAAAAGACTGGGGAAAAGTCTAGTAAACTGGATTTACTTCAAAGCCTATATTTTGATCCAGTAAGTGATACTCCAAGGAAGTTAGTCTGTGCAACACAAATTACTTAGCAAAAAATGTATGTGGTCATTTACTCAATATTTGATATTAAAGTTTTTATCAACATAATAGTTGCACAAATTTTGGGGGTACACTGGTGTTCAATTTGATTTAAACTCACAAATAATCTTCTAGTTACTTCTTAAAGCTCAAAACACTATATGCTGGCTGGGCGTGGTGGCTCACGCCTGTAATCCCAGCACTCTGGGAGGCCGAGGCAGGTGGATCGCCCAAGGTCAGGAGTTCGAGACCAGCCTGAGCAAGAGCGAGACCCCCGTCTCTACTAAAAATAGAAAGAAATTATCTGGATAACTAAAAATACATATATAGAAAAAATTAGCCGGGCATGGTGGCGCATGCCTGTAGTCCCAGCTACTTGGGAGGCTGAGGCAGTAGGATCGCTTGAGCCCAGGAGTCTGAGGTTGCTGTGAGCTAGGCTGATGCCACAGCACTCTAGCCCGGGCAACGGAGTGAGACTCTGTCTCAAAAAACAAAACAAAACAAAACAAAAAAACACTATATGCTGTTTAAACTATATATATATATATTTTATAGAGACAGGGTCTCACTCTGTTGCTCAGGCTGGAGTGCAGTGGCGCAACCGTAGGTAACTGCAGCCTTGAACCCCTGTGCTCAAGCGATCCTTCTGCCTCAGTCTCCCGAGTAGCTGGGACTACAGGCATGCGCCACCATGCCCGGCTAATTTTTTCTATATATTTTTAGCTGTCCAATTAGTTTCTTTCTATTTTTGGTAGAGACGGGGTCTCGCTCTTGCTCAGGCTGGTCTCGAACTCCTGAGCTCAAACGATCCGTCCACCTCGGCCTCCCAGAGTGCTAGGATTACAGGCGTGAGCCACCGCGCCCGGCCATTCTCCCTATGTCTTGAACTCTGGTCTGAAGGGATCCTCCCACATCGGCCTCCCAAAGCTGGGAATACAGGCACGAGCCTCTGCACCTGGTAATTTTTTATCATGCCATAAATATTCTCCATAAAAAAATTTAGGAGAGAAAGAAAACAAACCTTTAATTCTATGATCTAATGATAACTACTGTTAATATTTCAGTGTATAACCTTCTAGACTTTTAGGTACACACATATATATTTTAAAAACAAAATGGGGTATTTATCATATATGGTCTTATAACTTTTTTCACTCAACAATGTATGGTGGACAACTTTGCACATTAATAAATCTGTGTTATTATTCTTTTTTTAAGTGATGGAACAGTTTTAATTACATACTTTGTATCTATTTAAACCTAGGATGAAAAAAACTGAGATGTCAACTTAAAAAGTGGGAATAGGTAAATGTTTTTTTGAAGATCCTTTAAGAGGTGCTCAACCCAGATGGCTGGGAGGCCACAGTCGTGAATGACCTCCAGGAGCCCATCTGTGTGGCCTCTGACTGCATCAGAATCACTGCAGACAAGAGTCAAGCCCAGTGGAAGGGCGTCCAGTCTCTGTTCCCACCTGTGGCCCAGCTGTGGTGACAGTCCTCAGGAAGAGGCAGCTCTGAAATAAGGGGTCAGCTGAATTCTCCGGAATCTTCCAGAAGTCCCTGGAAGTAGGTCCAAGAACTCAGCCTCTTGGGACTGCTCTGAAAAGGAGTAAGAATCCCACTTGGTGCGGCATGTGCATTCATGAGGTGTTCCCGTGAAATCTGGCAAATTCGTGCCTGCCAGCCAAGGAGCCACAGAGGAAGGGGCAGCTCTCAAGGAACCACATCCTGGACAACTGCCAACACCCCTCCTGCAGCCACTGGCCAGAGGCCAGGTGAATGGCCAGGTGAATGATGAGAAGCTGTCTGAGAAGCCGCCGGTTTGTTCCCTATTTGCCTCTGGACGCATCTGCTCCGTCTTCTCTGGGTGGGGGCGCCTTTCCTGGCCCTAAAACTGTGACTCTTCCCATTTGTCGCTCCTAGCAAAACTGGGAGGCTGGTAGGTTTGTCCTGGTGAGATTTTGCTTATAGGAAGCAAGGTTGGACTTCTTTTCAAATCTTTCTGCTTATTGGGTGTTGCCTGTCTGTTTTGTTTCAAATAATGCCCACCATAGCCCGCCAGCCCCAGCCCCTCCATGGCTACCACTCAGACCTGTGTCCACCTAATTGCCTGCTTTATGCACACGTGATAAGGCACACACTCTTCTGTGCCTTGAAGCTAGATTACTTTAACAGGATCTCAAATGTTTCCTATTTGTTCACCTTAACCAGAAGACACTGCCGTGTCGTTTTCTCGTTTCAGTTGCATGTGCATTTGCTGTCCAAATTTTTGCTGACTGCAAAATCTCACTATGAACAGAGGAACTTTTCCACGGCCATGTAGAATCCGCGTGGGCTGGAGCACCTGGCTGAGACAGTCCCCTGTGTGTCCACCGCGGCTGTGGGCACTGGCGGGCTGCGGCAGTCTCACCTGTGCTTTCAGTTCAGGCGCAGAGAATTCTACTGCAAGCAAAGAATCACCCATTTCAGTGGAGCAGACATTTCCATGTTAGCAGCAGAAGACAGGGCTAACTTCCACCAAGTCTCCAGCTAGAAACATTTGTGGAAGATTCAGGACACGGTCCGCAGAAGGAAAGCAGCATTCCAGTAACTGAGCCCGAGGTCTGGGCATGTTATTCCGAATCTGGAGGGAGGAGAGGCCCCACCCCAGGGCCTCCTGCGTGTCGCTCAGGGCCGAAGATTCCCCTGCCATAGCCTGAGCGCCTGAGTTTTCTCCACTTTACCATCAGGAGATGGAGGCTCAGAGGGGCTCACAAAAGCACGCGCCCCAGGTGCAGCAGAGCTGGGTCCTTCCCAGTAGATGGAGCCGAGATGGGCACAAGAGTCTTGGAGGCCAGCGTGTCTCTGCGCCAGGTGTCTGCCGCTGGCCTGCCAGCAGGTGTGCTGCCAAGTCACAAGCTCCTCGAGGACAAACTCTTCAAGTGCACGGCCAGCTGCCCTGGTCTTTCGATGCCACTGGTGTGCCTGCCATCGTCATCCTTGATGACCATATGTACAGCACTGGGAGTGCAAGGATGTGCCATATACGTTATGCATTCATTTATTTATCTCTTACTCTTGGATATTTCGGTCTCTTGCCATTGTTTTAATGCTAATATAGACATCCTTGTATATAATCTTTGCTCACTTTCTTTTTTTTTTTTGAGACAGAGTCTCACTGTGTTGCCCGGGCTAGAGTGCCGTGGTGTCAGCCTAGCTCACAGCAACCTCAAACCTGGCCTCAAACCTGGCCTCAAGCAATCCTTCTGCCTCAGCTTCCCAAGTAGCTGGGACTACAGGCATGCGCCACCATGCCCGGCTAATTTTTTCTATATACTTATAGTTGTCCGATTAATTTCTTTCTATTTTTAGTAGAGACGAGGTCTCGCTCTTGCTCAGGCTGGTCTCAAACGCCTGAGCTCAAACAATCCGCCCGCCTCGGCCTCCCAGAGTGCTAGGATTACAGGCGTGAGCCACCGCGCCCGGCCTTTGCTCACTTTCTGCCTGATTATTTTCTTTGGTTGAATCCAGTGAATAGAATTGTGAAAAAAGGCCTTGCTTTTTTAAGCCTTGACCACATCACCAAACTGCCTTGCGGAAAGAAAGCGCTGCCTAATTGACACTCCCCCTTTCCCAGTGGCATGAGAGAGTAACTGTTCCCTATTCTTCCACCGTCACCGGGTCTCCTCACTCTCTCTAATCTGTGCCAGTATGATAAGCAGTGATATTTCATACTTTAAATCTGTATGTCCTCCAATTGTTAGTGGATCAGAATATTTGTTTTCTCTTCATTGGCTATCTATATTTCTTCCCTGGTGAATTACTTGTTCATGTTCTTAGCTTTATTTTTCTATTGAGGTATAAGAAATCTAATGTGTTTTCTCAAAGCACCTATATAGTCAAAGATCATACAAAAGAAATTTAAAACTTAAGTTACTTGTTTAGAACTCATCTTCAAAAACAACTCTGCAAGGAAGATATAGTTATTCATTCATCTTGTGAAATAATTACAAAAGATATGCTGGTGTGAGACCAGAGTAGGCCCCACTCTCAAACCCTATTGTTTGGAAAAGCCGCTTGGATCTTGCTGGTGCAAATAGAAAAGCAGCTTCTCTGAAAAATCTAGAACCAGCTGGATGCCAAACTAGGGAATTGCTGAGGTGAATTTAGGTGTATTATGGAAAAGGAAAATAATGGAATAATATACATGGGAACCATGTACTATGTAGGAACCTGGAAAAACACAGAAAACTTTATATATAGTAATATAAATACAACCATGTAAGAAAAATGTAAGAACCACTGGAATGAAATGCGAAAATACAAAAGTAAACTGTTAGGTGTGGGATCATAGCTTTTGCCTTCACTTTATTTCCCAGATGTGTTTAGATGTAGGAAGGAGCAGCTACCTACCCGTGTCTCCAAGTTAAGGTTAGCAGTTTTTCCATCCACTGTGACACTAAGAACAGAGCCATCTTTTACACTTACACAGTCTTCTCCAAATATGTCCCTTAAAATAAACAAAGATGCAATATTAGTGGAAAAGTCCAGCTTTACATATTTGGGGAAAAATAAAATTGAAGACAAGTCCTAGTTCTAAAGTAGAATACTTGTATTTATACCTGAGATCTTCTTATTTACCTTGATATAGCTTGTTAATTTTATAAAACATCTAAATGACACAGCTATCATTTCTTAAGAATGCTCTATTCAGAGGCATTGTGCTAGGCACTTTATATATATTATCTTTACCTATAATAATTTTGTTAAGGATCCCCTTTTACACATGAAGAAAAGAAACAGAGAAGTTAAGTGATTTGCTTAAAGTCTCATGGCTCGTAAGCAGCCGAGTTGGTACTCAAATCCAGGTATATAGATTTAACTGCTCCCAAGACCACTAGCTGTCTACTCCTTTTCATCTCTCCAAATGCCCACTTTGAGTTACTTAAACTCAGTATTTTTTGAGCATCTTCTACATGCCAGGTGCTGTGCCAGGTGCTAGGATACAGAAATCACTGACATTGTCTCTATCATCAAGGAGCTACAGTTTAATCATTAATTTAAACATTGTCCCCATGACAGAAGTGTTACAAAACAGCAGTCCAATTAGTAGTAGGCTGGGCGCAGTTAAGAAAAGGTAGTCAGTGAATCTAAAAAACTCACAAAGACAATGGCCATCCTTGGTCAGGTAAGCACTGACAATAGCGCATTAAACCCGGGTGGTGGTGATCAACTGCTTGCTCTTTGAGACAGTTAATGTTAATAATATGTTTGAATAAACTTGGCTAAGTAACCTAGTACTAAAGAAAAATAGTGTATTTTAAATACAGAAATATATTCAAAAGGATAGGAAAAAAGGATTTCATATTCATGTGATCAACCTCTAAAGAAACCAATACCTTTATTCCATACAATCCTAAGTATTAAACAACTGTGAAGATAAAGCTACCTTTATAAGGGCATGATCAACTTGCAAGTTTAAAGACACTGGTATCTCACATTCTTGAGGTGAATGTAAGCTGTGGCTCTTTGTCTTATAGCCCTATTCCTAACAGTTGAATAGTTCAAGGGGGTGGAGAGGGAGAGGGGGTGGGAGGAGTGGCGTGACAGGACTGGGGAGGAAAGCCAGAGTGGAAAGTGAAGTGGAAGGGCTAGCAGTCTCCTGCAGACTGCCCCCCGCACACCCGAACGGAACAGCTGTGGCAGTATGTTCCTCCATTCTGTACCTCCAACTGCTGTACCTGGGAGAGCTGCGGCATTCCAGGGCACCACAGGTTTTCTATTTTTGCAAAGCCTCTGGGAACAGAGCTGCCAGCATCACAACTGTTCTAGTTACGTCCCTGGTCAGGCATAGGAGAGCACCAATACCCACCTTCTACAAGAGGGTTCTTTAACAGGGTCTCAGGAGGGGCTTTGGGCAGGGGGTTGTCTAACCTTGAAATCAAAGGTAAAATTGCACTTGTGTGTATCCCCCCTGCCTGGGAGAAGTTCCACAGCCTTACCTGACTGTCACAGGGGTCAGTGATCTAAAAATGATTAAGACATTTAGACTCTAAGGCTGGCAGAGTAAAGCCCTCTGCAAAAGTAGTAAGAGAACCAGGGGCTACCACCGTCACAGGGTTGGGACCCAGACAAATCTGTGGCCTTTTCAGTGGCAATGGAAATCACTGTTCCTGCATTGTTAGCTGGTTTTGTATAACAAGGATGCTTTTAAAAAACAAATGACAACACCCTGAAGACTTTTTTGAGGATGTGTGACAGCTTCTTTAAGCGAAGTCACCATTTAAAGCCTATCATCTGTTTTTTAAAAAGCCACTAAATGGCTGCTTTAAAAAAGATTATCAGTGTAGAATTTTGGGGAAAGGAAGAAACAAATGTTAACATACAACCCTTCCAAACTTGAAGAACACCTCATTTTGTTAAGATGTCGAATTGAGTAACTTTCAGTTTAAAAATAGAATCAGTCATTTATTCAACAAGCATCTGAGAAATTGCTATGTACAAGGCACTGTGCTAGACATTGAAATTACAAATCTATTAATAAATACAAATCTTTTTATTTTTCCTTTTTCAGTGTAATATATAAGTTTAAATTGTAGCTATCTGCTATGAGGTAGTTTTACATGATTATTTTATTTGGAGAAACATTCAGAAATCAGGCTTAAAGAATATCTGCAGAAAGGTAAAAGACCTACTATCTGGTGCTTAGAAAAATACTAATATTAAAGGTAATTCAGAGTTTACAGATTTACTATCTGGGAAGAGTCTAAGAAACCATTCTTAACAAAGAATTCACATTTAAGAAGTAAATATATAAAATAATTCTTAAAGGCACAGTCACATTCAGCTAAGATTTTAGTACATGTCCTTGATGATAATGCTTTCATCTTTGCTGACTACGCTTGCCCTGTGAGAACATTCTGAGGCAATATATTAAAGGAAACATAAATGGCTGACCACACAGGTCATAAACACTTGGAACTAGCTGGAGCGCTGAGCTGGAAGGGAGCAGTTCAAACTGTTCTCTGTCCTGATGGAGAAGCAGGCCTGGGGGCCGCAGGGTGGCCTGGTCTGAGCCACACCGAGTCCTTAAGTGAGTCCAGCCGAATCCAGGGCTCCTCCTCCCCATCCTCACTACCTTGTTGAGCAACAATGGGAGAACTTACTGGAGCATGATCTCCAATCTCTTGCTATAAACGTGCATTTCTAATTTTTTAGAAACCTTTTGTACTGCACCTGGGGGAAAAAAAGAGTGACAGAGTTCAATTACAAAATTCCTATTTAGAATAATTTCCAAATTAATAATCAGAACATGGTTACCGATAAACCAAAGTGATTAACTATGGAATCCTGAAAGTGACAGGATGTGTACGGATCATCTACCTGCTAAGCCAAATTGATTTTTTCATCACTTTATTTCATGTTCTTACTAAAGAACCACAACATGACATTTAACATTATTTGTAACTTTTAATTTTATTTTCAATGTTTCTCAAACTTTACATTTATGACCAGAGGTGAATAAAATTATAACTCCAAGTATTCTAGGGGTATATCCAAGCTCAAAGATCCCTTAAGTCTTTTATTTTACCTA